CTAGGAAAGGCAAAAATGGCTTAATTCCTCTTACTTGTGATTACTGATCTACAGCATCTAGCCTAAGCTACTGATAGATGCACTGCTAGAAAGGACACCCAAATCAGGTGATAATACTTCAACATCTTTGTTAGAAGCATATATTTTCCTTCTTTCAAAGACAGAGACAGCTTTAAAAATCATATGACCTGCAAAATACTGACAGTAAAGACCACCAGTCAGCTACCAACACAAGTTCCAGAAGCGAAAATTCTGAAAGAGCTTGGATAAACTAGAGTGATTTTATTGTATTTTGAATCAAAACAATCTTACTGATTTTGGAAAATAAGGAAGGACTTGAGACTTTAAGAAGAAGATACTGTTCCTTGTTCTAAGTTACATTGTTTTCTCTTTTCAAAGTGAAAGCTGATTTTTCCCAAAGTGGTCAATGAACGAAAGGACAATTCACAGTGTGGTGGCAAAGGTACTTCTCTATCACTAGCAACCATGCTGAGCATGAGACAATGGTTTTCTCTTAACCCTCATTACAGTCCTCTCACCTCTGTGTAACTACAATGTTCTTTGTGTCATCCCTAAAAATGATCAATCCCTTCCTGATACAGCATGATTATGGAGAACCTCAATTAGCAGGATGGCCAGCATTCCATGAACATCCGCTACCACTTTAATCACATATTAAATGGCATTAATTGCAGTAATGTATGAATGCACCAGAGATCTTCCTCAGTATTCCTCTTGTTTCAAAGCTAGAAGGCATTAACCCTTTGTGGGGAACCTCACACTTACACAGGTGCATTGGGATGGCCAAGATAAGCTGATGGCCCACGTCAGTTGATGGACTCACTAATGTAAAGGATGCTATGATGCCACTGTCTGCAATAGCAGGGACTTGAACTCCAGGATGCAGAAAATCTTTGCCAGTTCAAGCAAAAATCTCAGTGACTTTACAGATTTTTTATGAGAGTAAAGACACTGTAACTAAACCTGCTACACAGCGTACATGTAGCCTGCAGTAGAAATGGTTGCACACCCTTCCTTTCCCCATGAACAACCTCATTAGGACTTGAGTCCATAGTCCATAGGACATAGTGCTGGCAGGTTATGCTGGGGAGTGAGGGAAGGAGCCATTGAAGACAAGGGGCACCTAGGTAAAATGGAAATACTAAAACACTACACAGATGACTACAGCAGTAGTTGTTTATAAGGCTTCATCCTTCAGAGGGGGAGTTATCACCTAGAAATAGGCTTTAGTGCTTTGCTGTCTCAGAGTCATTCAGCCTTGCACCATCCATGTCTGAGACTCACTAAAGAAACAGGAATACATTGCTTTCCACAGCCAAAACTTGTAATTTCTTACACCTTTCTCTATGCAATTGAATTTTACATCCCACTGCAGATGAGAAAACCCCATTCTCCATTAAATTTATGTATAAAGTAGCAAAACGCTTCCATCCAGATCTTCTTTCTGTTTATCTTAGAGGGAATCAGTGGCAGCATCTGTGCTGGTGTATGAGAGGAGGCAGAAGTATAAGTCCATATTTTATGATGAAAATGACAGTAGGAGTGACCTTGCTCCAGCATATATTGCTTTTCTGGCAGTGTCTAGAGGAGATAATCTAACAGCAGTCTGCAGAGCATCATGTTTTCTTAGATCCTGCTACAGTAATTCAATCAGGAGCATATAAAATTAGATGAAAAATAAGGTAACTAGCCTTCTGGGACTGAGTGATTGCAATAAATGTTGCCTCCTGACAGTAAGCATTACATTGTCCTTTTGAAAGAGAGGTTACCTTTTATTATAGCGTTCCACTTCTCTCATTTCAGTTTGTGCCAGGTAGCATCGCTGTTAAGCACAGTCTGCAGGACATCAAAAAATACTTTAAAAAAATTATACGCTGCCTTTAAGGTAAAGAAGGAGTGAGCAGAAAACTTCCAACTCTTGAGCTTTGGGATCAAATGAGCAATGAAGGGCAGATTTTTCTTGGGTTGGTTTTGGTTGTGTTTTTGTTTGTTTGGTTGGCTGGTTTTGTTTGTTTGTTGTTTTTTTTTTAAATCTGTGTTTTCCCTTTCCAGTGCCTTTCATTTAAGTATCACAGAGTACTGGTTGATTAATCAAATCTTACAACTCTTGCATGCTTTTTAGAGAGGTTGAGTAACAGTCAAGTCTGTGTCTCTAAACTCAGTGAAGTTTGCAAGTGAAGATTGCAAGCAAATTAATAAAAAAGACAGAGTGAAACTGAGTCACGGTGGAAGTTAGTCCCCGAGTGTCAGTACAGAAATTATTTTCAAGTCTTAAATATTTGCCCCTGCATTTGTCCTGTGGATCACTGAGTAAATACAGATTTTTCAATTATTATAGGTTGAGTAAAATCATTTAAATTTAGCTACCTTTGAAGACATATGGCTTTGACAAAATCATACAATGGTTACTGCTGCAAACACGCTTTCGCAGGTAGTGACAAAGTATACAGCAAGACTCAAGCTCTGAGTGCTTTAATGCAACATAGATGGAGAAGAAAGCACCAAATAACAACCGGTACCATCTGCCACTGTCTAGTCATTAACATCAACTCTGACTGTGATTTTCTGGGAGGAAGCAGAGGTGGAACTCCTGGCAGAAGCCCTTGGGTAGTAGGAGATGCAAGACAAACACTTGTACACCTCTCCCCTCCAGTGGCTGCTGCTGCTCCACCTGCTCCATCACCTGCAGGGTAAGCAAGGCTCCTTGATGTGCGTTCATTCAGGAAGCTTTTCCACCTATGTATTACATGTGTATATCAATTAATAGGATTTCCTGCTAATCAAGAAGATATTAGGGTGTGACTACTTATAAGCACCCCTGAGAAAGTGAGGCAAGGCCAAGTTCTGGCTAAGCAACCTGAGAAGCTGGGGAAAAGGAAATCTCCAATTAGTGGATCCAAGCGATTCTCCACCAAACCACAACACCTTTAGCCCAGCTGTATGACCAAAGTCTGAGGAGATAATTACTTTTATCCAGAAGCTGACATTTCAGCCAGAAGAGATGTTCCACTGACCTGACCTGTATCAGTGATCTGAAGTTAGATGGACTCTACACAAAATGTGCTAAAAAGAAATTTTGTTCTTATAAACTACTTGAAAGCAAAGAAGTTGAAAGACCTCTCACTTCCAGTTATGTACATAAGGAATAACTCCACAAACTGTAATGGACTGATATTTTTATAAAATAATTGACAATGGAAATCCTACCAAGATCTCTATATTTTCTCATGTGTACATATTTTGCAAAGGTATCTGAATGGAGGCACTGACATTAGCTCCATAGTCCAAGCTGTGCTGTATTTGTGCTATACTGAGATTACAGTTTGAGAATTTTGTCCTGTAAAATGAAAATTCAGATAAAGATAAATTCAGCAGACGTAAACAGATCTAACTGTAATGAACTTATAATGGACATATTATTTACAGCAGCTGAGAATCTGGCCCACAGTTTGCTATGCAAAATCATTATTTTGTGTACTTGGATTAATGTGCACACTAATAAAACTCATTAATCTCTTCAGGTATCACTGCAGGTTTTTGTGAATGAGATATAATGTAATCCACACACATCACTTTGTAACTGTTGATAAGGCCCTTTAGAAACCTTAGTCTTTTTATTCACAAGTGTTTCTAATTATGGTAAAACAATTATCTTGGTGCAAAGGAAAGGGATACCGTCTCCAGTACCTACTGACAGCTCTTGTTGAATTGAAAACAAGCAGAAAAATATACAGGACTTTTCTTGTAAAGAGACAAACTTCATAAACTTAATAACATTTACTACAGAATTGAATGTTTAGTGGGAAATGACACTTCTCTGCATAAGTCTGCCATAATTATAGATCCAGAGATTTACACATAGTCCGTTAAGCCCATTAGTCCATTGTACTGTCAGTACTATTTCATTGTACTGTGTTGCAATCTATATCATATAGAATACCTATAAATGACCCCCAAATACAGCCTATCTTTCCTCCATGGGACAGAATATGTTTTCACAAGTGTCCATGCCCACTACTGACATTCAGCAGAGAGAGTACTTAGAGCTGCTCTACAACATCATACACAACAGCTATTTTTTCTTTCATGCTTCACACATTTGCTTGTTTCTGTTGAAAATAAGGCATTTCTTGTTGGCTTGCTCTTTGCATTAGTTGCTCTAGAGGGCATACAACCATTTAAGCAGCTTCAATCTTACCAGTGGATGACCAGTAAGAATAACGCTTACCATGGAAACCTGCGATCCAGTTCTCTGTGCATGCATTGTCTGTGCAATTTAGGATACTTAAGGAGAATCAAATTACATAGGATTAAATACTATGGAGTTCTGCATTTATTCTTAACAGAGCTGGAGAAAGCTGACTTTTACAGCCCATCTCCTGAAATTCCCTCTCTCCTTAGCTCTTTGGATACTGTAATGTATTTTCAACACTAGACCTATAGATTGCTCCAAGCTGAGGGAAATTTATGATGAACAAGTAGTGAAACACTAGATATTCTGTAGTCATATTGTCCATTAGGTAGCTTTCTGCAAACTGCCTTTTCTTGGCAAGCAGTCTTTTCATTGAAATTTACTTACTTTGAATCCCACTGCTCCCAGTACTAGTATGCATTTGGAACTCAGTCCCAGTCACTCCCAGTTAATCCTACTTGGCTGGTTTATCTCTCACAAACTTTCTGATGTTTTATCTTTAGATTTGCTGCTACTTTAATTATGGATGCTTGGAGTGGTTAAAGGAATGCACCTCTATCTTCAATAGTCAGATATGCACAGAAAAAGGTTGTGCACATCTGCTTTTTAGTTAAAAATAAAAATGCACACACACAAAAAATGTTAAGCTTTAACAGCAAAGTGACCCAGATATTTATGGCCAGTCTTCCAAAGCTGCCCACAGGTACACAGGATATCTAAAGGTATCAATGCTGGATCTAAACCCTACCCTTAGACATAACAACCACAATAACGAAGCCCAACATACCTTCACATGTCAGTAGGAAATATTCCAGATTGTGACTGAAGGATGCACTGAAATATGTGCAGTTTTCAATCAGATCACAGGACAGACATCGCCTGTTGAAGTTTCCATTTGTGCTTGCGCTGAAAAAGTTAACATAAATCCATGAAGGTCACCGAGCAAATGTTATCTGGAAACAACATTACTTGAACCTTACTGTACTGTAGAATAAGAACATAAATATAATGTGCCCAACATTAGTAAGAGACAAAGCATTTCCATTTGGTTGAGTTTAAATGGCAGTAATGACTTTTCTTTTGCCTGGATGGAGAATATATAAAAGGATACTGATGTCTTTCTTTGCAAGGTCAGGTGGCTATTAAGGAAGGTATAGTTTTTAAAAGAATACGTTGATTGCAATTCCACAAGAGGAAGTAATAATTTGGTGAATGAAGGCATAAAAGAATAGAGCAGTATTTCTTCATCTACTTATAACAGACAATAAAGAGCTGGAATTGCTTTCTTTAAGCTTGTTACTGGTTGCCTCACTGGTCTGATTTGCTATCAGCTGTCTCAGAGGCCAAAGCCCTTTTTTGGGGTTTAAATAATTGCTCTTATAAAATCCCAGTAGAAAGAAAATATTGTGTTATGGGGTCTGCTTTTGAAGAAGGTAATATGGCCTGTCCATATGCTCAGAAGTGTTTTATAAACGTCTACTATAGGTTAAAGAATGAATTACAGATTATTAGCAAATATTAATAAATAAAATTTCACACTGTTACAGCATTTTGAAACTTTAAAATGCTTCAAAAATATTCGCTAACAGATCTTTCCAGCATTACTGTAAAGCAGGTGAGTGTTTTTTTGCTACCATTTCAAAACAGAAAGAAAGGAGGCTGAGCAACCTGTTCTTATTAGGTTCTCATTTAGCCTCAGATCATGTCCCTGCCTTAAATTCTGTTTACAAGCTACTAAATCAGACACAAAAAGGCAAAAAAACCCCCAACAAACCTAGATCTTCATCTGATATAAGCTGTCAGAGCTCCAGTGGAGCTCTGATAATGGATACACACCATTGGGTTAACACCCTTGGGCTGGGACGAGAGATGGTCAAACTATTCAATGCAAGAAATCAAACATCTGAAGTGAGGCCAAGATCACTGTGTAATCAAAGTAAGATCAAGGACATTGAGATTTTTGGCATTTCTCCCTGTTGCCCATGCAGGATGGTGAGGTTAATGAGGCACCGGGGTGAACTGCACGCCAAGAGGAGCAAGGGGTGGGAAGCACTTTGACTCATGCCAGCAGCAGCTGAGCAGCTGTGCCTGGACCCAGCATTTAAAATGAGACTTTCTTCCCATTTCAATAGAAATTATTGGACAAAATATTTTATTTTTTTTCTTCAAGAAAGTAAACACTGAGCTGAGCTACTCTCAAAAAAGTGTGGAGTGCAGTGAACAGGCATAGAAATCTCAAAAGGAAAAAAAAATATCAATTACAGGTAATTTAGTTTGCCCTACTTTCCTCCATGAGGGCAAAAAGGTATGACATAAAGTTAGAGAAGGAAAACATACTGACAATCCCTTACCAAATGATGCTATCACCAGCCCTGCCTTTCATTGCAGATGCTGAGAGGACAGCAGGGGTATTGAGAAGAAAAGTCGGACAAATGGAATAATTATTCCAAAATTATTATTTTTAAGTTTGGGTTTCCTTCTTTTGTGATCTGCTTCCACAATACTTTGCGACTGCTGCACTACAATCAGTCTTTTACTCATCATACAATTACAGAGGATACTAAAGTAATCTGGAATTGCAGAAAAATGTTTGCAAACATAACATATTGTTATGTTACGTTATTGTTATTTCTTTTCAATTTCATGAAGAGGTGAGGTGCTATCAAATTTCCATGAAAACTGCTATCTGGAAGTATAAAACAATTTATACCATTAGTATATTCAATTCTGAATTCTTTCAAGTGTTAAGCAGCTCTGCTGGAAAGTTTTGTGACAGTTTATCAATCTTGAGACCAATTAAAAATCTGCAATAAAATAAGACAATTGCTAAACGTAAAACATCTCCAAATGTCAAGCATTGTGATCACTATTGTTATGTTGTTCTGTCTATTCCAGTGACACATTGCAAGATCTTGCAATGCCATTAAGGACAAACACGTAACAAACTGTTTCTGTTGCAATCACTTATGTAATGATTCATATAAGACTGAAAAAATGGGAAACTCTGTATGTGAAATTTGTAAAGCACATACCTGTATAAATGTCTCCTCCTTGGCAAATCTTCTGTGCTGTGGAAATAACTGAGGGGAAAAAAATCAAGAGGCAAATGTATCATTAGAAGGGTGTTTACAAGTATCTCATGTATCTTCATTCACATACTCATTTTCCTGATCTTCTAAAGGCAAGGGAAGTTTAAACTGAATTAGAAAAACGTACAGAAGGACATATGAGGGGAAAAACATACAGAGGGACACAGAGGCTCAACAAGTATGTTGTAGGTTGCCCTTACGGTTAAAATAAGCACGGATATATTTAGGATCAAAACGGATCAAGTGATTAAGTGAAAGACCTTCACATTTTCACCTTTACATTTATAGCTCAGAATTTCCTTTAAACACCTTTTTTCTTTAGAATCAATTTTTACTTCTCTGATGATTTTTTATTCTTTGCCCAGATAGATAGCTAGCTGGGGGTCTGAAAAGGCAGCTGGACTTTCAGGGAAGATGGAATATGAAGTTGAAGAATTCACTTCATTGTCTTTGGTGCTGAGACTGTAGTGAACTCCTTTTCTGGAGCAAAAGCCCTGTTGTGTGGCAACAGCTTCTGAGGGCCACAGGGAGGTGGTTTTCCTGACCTTGAGTCAGTCAGTGCTGCTCGAGTTAGCCAACCTCAGTCCAACACACAGGGTTCAGATTGATCCCTCTGATGCATTTCATGTGAACAATGACAGATCACAGGAGCAAAAGTAGCATCCATGGGGTGAATAACATCTCAGGAAGGACATTCAGCCCAGCTGATCTGTTCCAAAGAAGCTGCACTTGCCTGGACGTGCATTTTCATTGCACAAACCGTACATGGTATTTTCTGCTTGATGGGACAGTTAAAATGCATATAAGACTTTTGTGCTAGTTTGCTACTTAGCTCTGCCAAGTGGTAAAGACCCTTATGTCGTGCTGAAGTTATTGATAATTAAGGGCGTTCAAAACCTTGAAGGAGCATCGTGCTTGGAATGATCATTCAAAGTTTGTCATATTCCAGAGGTGTTTCATTCAGTGACCTTAAAGAAAATGTGAGGTGAACACCTTGCATCCAGCTGAAACTTTGTCTCAAAATGAGTCTATAAGGTATTTGTTTCCAGAAAACCTTCCAAATATTTTCTTACCTAATTTCTTGAAATGTATTTTAAAATGTAAACATTTACAGAAGTTATTTTACAAGCATAAAGGGAAAATGTGAAGAAAGGAGTTTTTTGGTATTCTAACTGAATATCTTTTTATAACACATTGATATTTTTGCAGATCAATAAGGGATTCTTTCTAAAACTGACTATCTAGGTGGTCAGTGATAATAGACTTCTTTCTTTCAGAGGTCAATATCGGAAGCTGGAGCAGGAGAAATCCCTCCTCTACACAAATGTATCTAATAGTCACAGAAACAGAAGACTGAACTATACAGAGAAAACCAAAATAAGACAAGATATATGGAATGCTGTGAGAGGTTAAGCCAAAATGGACACAGCTTTTCCTGCTGCCTTATCCCCATCTCCTTATGTCCATACATTTCAGATGCACACACAACCCCATTGTAACTAACCCTATAGGCCAGGGCTAAACATGGGAAGACTGATTGGGCAGACCAAAGTTTACTTACATTTTATGCCTCTTTTCATCGTATGCCAATATCTTTGTCACATCCCAGTCACCAGATGTAATAGCCTGTAAATTATCACTGCTACTGTTGGGCTGCCGGAAAGAAGAGAGAATTTGATTTCTTTATTTTTAAAAGAAGAAATCTGAGCAAAGCTTCTCTGCTGGAAAAGGGAGCTCTTTTGACTCCATTAGCTATGAAAGATAAACCACACGCCTGTACTTTCCACCCCTCCCCCTGCCATTTCTGTGAATCTGCAGGCATAGAAATAATACAGAGTCAGAATCATCTTAACCATAACTCCAGTGAAGATAATGGGATGAATTGAGCACAGAACAGCTTCAAACCCCTTCCTCTAATCCAGCATGTCCATGAGCTTCTAATTAATCCTTTATGGCAGTATAGGGATTTACTTATTTATGTACAACTAAGAAGGCATTAAAAAACTGAAACAAAGCAATGATATTGTTTGGAAATAGGTAGTTGGTTGACCTTTTTCTTTTAAGTATCTCATCTGGAAATTCATGTTATCTTATGCCCAATAAGCCATTAGTGAAGGTTTTCTTTTATGCATATTGTACATTTGCACCTTCCAGTCTCACCACTATGAGGACAAATTCTACTTTTTATTGCTTGCTGCTGCAGGTGAGACCCAAGGCAGTGGCAGCGAGTAAGTCACCTGTGATGACGACATGGTGATGTGGTAGAACTTCCCGCGTCCTCCCTGGGGAATGGCTCGGACAAAGAAAAACTTCCGACCGTCCTTGGAAAAAATTGGCTCTTCATTCTGTAAGTGGCAATTTTAAGGGTTGTATTAGCATTAATTTATTGTATTTGAAATTGCTCAGCATTGCAAAACTCTGCAAAATGAATTCACACTCAAACAGAGAGTGCTTTTTAACAGCAACCTGAGGTAAACAAAAAAACCCACTGAAAACTAGATAAAGTTTTGAAAATTATTGCTTCTGTGCTCTCAGGGAAGCAGATCTCTTTCAGCTGTGGGAAGACAGGGAGACAGGCAGCAAGAGGCATTCCTGTGCTATAAAGTAAATTTCCTTTTGCAAAGCAGAAAGTGCGCAGGTATAGCTGACTGCTCGGGGCATTTGGAATTAAGCCTTTAGAAATGGTTCGAACCTTGCTGGCACAAGTATGACAAACCCTGTTTACTCTGCTGGAAGAATTGATCTATTCCTGTCCTCAAGGAAACACAACTAACAGCATCTCACTGCTGTCTTTTCCTACTCTCTTACAAATGCTTATTTCACTGAATTATTTATGAAGGGGAGGATACCTTGCAAAACTGTCTTTGACAAAGAGCTCCCATGTGAATGTGATGATTGACTTTTATTGGGTGACTACAACTTTCAACCAGAGACACAAGAGACTCAGCAGAAGGAAATCAAACCCCACATATGGCAAGCAAGCATTTCCTGGAAAGGTCTTTGTTTTCCTTTTGTACAAGAGCTCTAAGGCACATGGGAAGTCTCCACTGCAGGAGATGGTTGAACAGTAGATGACAAGAGAAAGCAGAAGGATGGTCCATATGGTGTGACACAGTAGCACTGTACCAAGGGAACTGGCTAGTTGAAGCTCCTCTGCTCTGTATTTTGAATAGCTGGGACTAAAAGAAGAGCTGAACCTCTGCTGACCCTCTCCTGTGCTGTCAGGCTTTTCTGGGGACTGGCTGAGCCCTTTCTGCCCCAGCCTCTGGCTCCATGGAGCTTTATGTTTTTTTCCTCTTCCAAGGACAGTCCACAGGGAAACTGTTGCCCAACCTCTTCTAGGTTGTCCATTGGTTCAGTGCTTAGCAAACACCCCGGCTTTCTGCTTGACACATGCCAAGCAGAACCAGCACACTGAACCAGCAAGAACTTGATTTCACAGAGGGACTTACAGCTAATGCAAATACCTACAGCAATAAATAAACATTTTTATTTCTCATAAGCTAACATGTTACACTTAAAGTATGTTCCTTTGCTTCCAGTTCTCTACTGATTAATTCTTTTCCACTGTTTATCAGATTTATCAGCACTTAATTAGGTGTTCAAATTGTTTGGTTTTCCTTTTATTTTCCCCTGCTTAGGTATTCAGTACATTTTAAAATATGTCCATTTACAGTTTGTTGCAGTTCTACGAAATAATGCTTTCATTTGTTTCTGACATTGCCCTGGAACTCGAAATACAAAACTCTATTATTTCCAAATGTCTTTCATGACAGGAAAATCTCCATTGACAAACAGCTGTGATAACTTGGGCAAACCTTCTGCTCAACAGGCTTTCCTTTACTGAGGTAAACAGCAGTGAGTTCACCCTATGTTTCTATATCTGTGCCTATTGCATTAGATATTCCAGCAATATGTCTCTGCCAGCGGGAGCGGGTGTTGTGCAGTTTGGCTTGAGGTTCATTCAGAGTTACAGGAGAAGAAGGTCCACGGCACGGATGACAGATGCGAGACGCTAGCACTCGGCTGATGCTATGAGACAGTCTGCGTGCATGTTCCTGTTGTCGGAAAGACAACACGTTGACACAACCAGAGTTTTAAGATCTTGACAGAGATGGTGACTTACTCTGGATGGCAAGTAGGGGGGACACCAAGCTGAGAGGTATTTGGAACAGGATTTTATACTGTTGGGAGCTATGCTGAGCATGTAATTAAAATATTCTGCGTGTGATACAGTTTGAACCTTTGGCTGACTATAATTCACTGACTGTCCAAGACACCAAAACATAGGAGCACTCTGTGAAAATAAAAGGAGACCATTTTGATGCTGGTAAAAGAAAACACTTTTCCTATGCAACAGGTAGGGACTTTCCAGGTTTTTTTGCGCTAGGAGGCTTATGGAAGCAGTTGGTACCAGAGGGTGCAAAAAGGGATAGAACAAACTCATGATTCATTAACAGACCCTAAAGGGAATAGACATGGATACTGTCTCAAATGTTTTTAATCTTTTTATTGTAGATGGTGCTGAAATATGAGAGGACTGGACTGCAGAAAGCAGCCAGCTCACACACTGCCCCTAAATACCATCAACTGCTGTAACTGCTAAAGGTGGAGCAGAGGAAGCAGCAGTGAGGCTCGGTAGGGCACTTCTTAAATCTTTATGGCTCTTGTCTTTTTGCTCCGATAGATCTCTGTAGTTAGACAAATGAATTCTACCCAAACAGTCAAGGCCAGCTCCCAGAAATCCTCTGCTTTGTGCAGATGAAGGACAAAGCTGTCCTCATGTCAGCTACACATAGCAATAACCCAGTGCTCTCAGGCTCAGATATAATGGGGAAAAGAAAAAAGTAAGGTAACTCTTGTATGATTCTACAGCAGCTTAAATTGAAACCTAAATCTGACTAAAAGTAAGTATGGGTCCCTGATCCCATTTGCCTTTCTGGGCCTGTGTGTACAGACCATGGCCTGGTTCAGGAAGCAGATCTATCCAGAGTTGCTCACCTGTGATGGGCGATTGTCCCCAGGGTGGAGGAGGAAGAAAATAGTGGTTGGAGTTGAGGACTACCCAGTCATCCTCAGAGTTGAAGGAATAATCACTAGACAAAGGATGACTCTGTGGCTGGAGAAGGAATTGCTGGGACTAACCAACCTACATCTCTACCAGTAAAAGAAAGAGGCAGCAACTCTATTTCCAGCAACTTGTTTGTTGCTGTGTGTCAAAATGATGCCACCAAAGGCTTCAGCTTTGGTGGAAGAGATAAGATGATGGGAGGCTGCTAGAGGGAACCATGACTCCTGGAGGGATCAGTGCTGGAGTTCAGAATTTTGCAACACAGGTCACTCTAACTGCAAATGGTCAGGAGAAGAAACCGAGGCTCAGAGGCTTATGCCAAGTTTGGCAGAATGAGGATGCATGAGGAGATATTGCTAAGGGCAGTCTGATCTTCTGTAGAGGTCTTAGAGAAGACACAGAACAAAGAATAACAAGGAAGCACTGGAACAAGGAACAACAATTAAAAGAAAGCTAGAGTAGAGGTATTAGAGAGAGATAATTGAGCATCAGTGGATCTGCAGCCACTCTCTGATCCTCTCTGACCCCAGAATTAATGATTTTGCTCTGTAGGTGTTTATTATTACATGGAAATGCCCCAATTCTTTAAGTGTTACAGGGCAATAGCTCTAATAAACAGATAAGAGTGACATAAATCCTTTTAACTCTTTGCATTTTGGCAAACCGTTTATTGAATTCCAATGAAGTATTATAAATAACCATCAGCATTACTGTGACAATGATGTCACCTCCTTCTTTGGGTGCAGGGGGAAGATCTCTTTTCATTCCCTGCCACACTCAGCCCCTGGGGCAATGTTGTGCTTCATCCTGCATCCCTGTCCCTATGATCATCTGTAGTAGAGTGCACCACACCAATGACCATCTCTGAAGCTGGGCCACCTGCCACCAAAATACAAGGTCATCAACTGGAGAGGAGCCCATGCCTCTCGGTATCAATTCCCTCCACTGGATTAAATAAGGACTCTTCACTTAAGCACCAAAGATTCTGCTTTGCTATCCCTGGCAGATGAATTTGGGTATTTGAATTATGGGGTTTTGGGTCCTATTTCCGCTTTTTCTTTTTTTCTTTAGGGCAACATTAGGTCAGTAAGGTCAGCTATGGGGTTGTTACATGACAAAAGGGCTTTACAGGGTGAAAAGTCAGTCTTGTTTGTAAGGTTCTCTGAATTCTGTTTTATTTAAAAAATCTCATTTCATACTGCCTATTAACTATGTGTATGAACCATTACTATCATACTATCATCAGGATTAAGGCAAGGGAGTTGTAAAAGAAAATTAGTGTGAGGTTTTCAACATTTCAACCTTTTGACAGAGCAAAAGTCTTTAGTTTCAGACTGAGGTGACCTGAAATGCTAAGGGAATACGAGGACTAGTATGAAAAATGCAGCTCAAAGGAACTGTTATCAGGGGAGGTCAGCCAGTCCACGCAAGCAGTTTTGGAGGTTATATGTCTCTAAACAATTTTGTGGTAATCTTCTGGTCCTCCCAATGTCAATGTCAAAAACCACAGCCTTTGGTGGAGTTAGAATTGCACCCTGGTTTATAATTAAATTTGTTCAGGCCACATTCACAATTAAATAAATAAACCAATTAAAACGCCCAATTAAAGCCAATTAAATTAAAGTTTATCTTCAGCAGGTGCTCAGAAATTGTCTTATTTCTCCCTTGCTGACTCATTTTCATTATATAAACATCACTGGCACTATGGGAAAATAGCTTCTTCACAAAAATGGAAACAAAATTGTTTTCAGCTATAATTAATGTTCAAAATAATTTGTATATTTAAGCAAAAATATGAGTTAAGTTCAATCTGGCTTTTATGCTTAGAAGTGCACAAGCAAGTATATAAATAAAAGCAGTAAAAACTTCCAAAGTCCCTAGGAAGTTTTGGTGAGCATGTGCCTGTTCTTGTTTGTGCAAAAGGTTTGAAAACTCTTGCTGTATCATCTGACAAGGAGTGACAGATACTTTCTAGCAAAACCTGTGTAAATATTGTATACTTCTTATTATATTTTGAGTACCTTATCCTATTTTTTGGCCATAAAGACAGTGACAACAGTATTTATCTTTGTCTGTGTTGAAGAGATTTTGGACTTGAATAAATTTCACTAATGAACCTAAGCACAAAAGGGAACACGAGATCATTTACTATGACCCTCCACACAGATTACTAAATCTCACTGAGTTACCAAGCTACTACTACAACAATATTCAAATTTATGGGTTGTATGCCCAATTTCAGAACTCCCAGCATTTCACACAGCCGAAAAAAAGTCAACCCTGTCATCCTTGGAGACTCCCTCCTGTCCCTGGTGTGTATCTTCTGATACTGATATCTCTCTTTCATCGTCTCCTCCTCCCAGCCTCCTGTGAAGTCTGTCTCTGTTCCAGGAAGACCAGATGTGCTTAAACTCCCAAGAAAAAGGTAAAGTTCTGGTATGCTTTTCAAACCAGGTATAGGGAACACTTTGAAGTATTTTAACGTGTGAGGCAAGCAGATTCTGTGATCCTACTGATTAAAATTTGGGGTTCTTCTCAAAAGGAAGTCTGGTCAATGGAGCACACAAACCAAGTTGGCCAACCATGCAGTGGGTCTCTTCTTCAGAGTGGGCTGAATTATGCTCCAGATCCTTTGATTGTGTAACCACACTACAGCAGCAAATTGGGCACCTGGCTTATATCCATACACCCATATTAAAGTCTCTCAACTCTTCATCCTGAACTGAGTCACACTCCTGAGCTCCTTCAGTAGCTGCCTAATGTGCAATTCATCTCCTTAAATAGGTTATGGGACTTGCACTAGTGTTTAACATTTTCACATCATTCTCATAGTCAGATACGCATGGCATGAAAATAACTTCTTAGTTGTTTAGATTAATGTGTCACAGAGTAAGAGGTAAATGCAGAAAATAGAGTTATCCTAGTAATAATGTGTTCAGTCAAAACTAGAATTTTAAGTAATTCTGTTGTCAGAAATACAGGCAAAGGAGCTCTGTAATTCTTCAGACTCTTACAAAAGCTTTTGAAGAGTACTATCAAATGTCTCCAAAGTCCATAGCAAATGTTATCTTAGTTTAGCACTGAGATGACTGACTCATTTGGATGTAATGAACATCCTTCTCTAACTTCAGACTAAGTATATGATATTTGGAGATGCAGCAAAACAAACTATATTTCCCTGGAGCAGGCCTGTTAGAGATTAAGAGATCATTTACTGCAGTTACTTAGGACAAAGCACCACCTTTTAACACTTGTTCATGTAGTAGGTAAAGGACTGAAGAACCACACCAGTGATTTTTACACAGCAGTGTAAAAACACAAGTTCTACTAGCTGCACTATACAGCATTAATGGAGATGCTAGTAAATAACAGTGAAAGGATTAAAAATCTCCTTGGATTTATAAAATAAATTAATCCTGTGAGGTACTTTTTTTTTAAAGTTAACATAGGGGCAATTTAGTTTTCTCTTGACTTGGCTTGTCTTTGAAGGTTTGGTTTTCTATTCAAGTCAACACTGTCTTTATGAATGTAAAGAATATTCAGCAGTATTTTTACTCTATACCCGAGTATACCAGGAAAATATTATTTGAAATGCTTGGAACACAAAATCTATTTCGTCTGTAAAATCATTTTTTATCTGGAACAGACATAGCCTATTGCTGTAAGACAGCCACCGAGATCATTGTTCTCGCTGTGAACTGTTGGATTGCAGTTTCTACAGGTTCTTGGATCCTCTGAACAAGCTGTGACAAAAATGTGATATGCCGTAAATCTGGACCTAGCAAAATATAGTACGAGATCTTTATCTGATGTGCTGCTCCCTGTCTGGCACTCACACATCCCGTGAAAAACAGTTCAGTATTGGTATCAGCAGCTTCTCTCTAAAGAACAGCTTAATCAAATCTGAGGTTACTTCACAAACTGACTAGTGGGGAAGTGCTATAAATGATCTTCCAGAGACTTACATGCTGGAAATCTAGAGATTTTATACAGACATATGTTGAAAAAAAAACCCAAACAAAACCCTTTTCTGAAAAAAATGAAAAAAAAGAAAGAAAATCCAATAAATTAAAACTTTTTTGGGGTTTAAATTCTCTATCTTATTTTCTATTTCTATTTTTTTTGAGATTTATTTACGTCTTTGTTTTATTTCATTTGAAGGATGGAAGCACATAACAATACGAATAGTATTATGCATAAGTTACATTGTCAGAGGAATTATGTGACACAGATGTCTGTTGAAACAGGACATTAAACTGCATCAGGTAGTTTCTCCCCATTCTAGGCTGCATGTAAACTCTCATTGATTTAACTGCCCCATTGACAATTTTACTTTTTCACCTTTCTTACATGTGCAAATAACTGCTGAGTGACACAGATAATTTTGTCAGATTTAGCTTAAATGACTTAAAATCCAATCTGTGAGATTTTGTCTCTAAATACACACAGGCACTTAATAAAATGATCTTTGATCTTTTCAACAGCAGACTTCTCTCCTAACTAGAAGACCAGAAAACAATTGCTGTACAGTTTAAAATCATCATCAGGCTCAAAGCAGGCTATGAAGGGCTGCCTCTTAGGCTGACGTGTCTCACCCAGATACTGTCAGTGGGTGAATTTCCACCAGCATCAGCTTTTTGTCTCGTTTAAATCAAAGTAAATTGTGGGCTGAGAATAGTGGAATCTACCAGAGAAGCTGGCATCTTCCAGAAGAGCTTGTTTAAAACTGGGAGACTGTTTTCTATAATACAAACCATGCCAATGTCCAAGTATCTTTCTCAGGTTTGAAAATAATTTTTTCTCTTCAGGGAAAAAACAGTGAAACAAATACCTACCAAAGACTTGACTGCAAAGAGAAGATCACTGTTACCTGTCTGTGCAGCCAGCCTTCACTTTCATCTTCATGTTTCTGAAAGAAAACAAGATCATTAAATACCATAATTTGCATGTATTACATTTTGCTTATCAGTGTAGGAAGCAGGTGTATTGAATCTGAAAAGTTGATCAGAAATACAAAGAAACTTTAAATATGTGCTTCAGGAATATAATCCAGTGGCTGCTCTCCTTGTCTTTCCTCTCTGATGAATAAGCATGCACTCATTCAAGAAAGCACTTTACTCATTCGGACAAAACACATAAATCCACAAGATACATTATTCACCAAAGAAATAAAGCTTGTTAAGAAGCAAATAAAGGTTGAAATAAAAATTGTTAAGAAAAGATTATGCACTGTGCTTTATTCACAGTATTACATAATTTATTCAAGGGACGGATATATCAGAACAGTTTTCTACTGTGGAAACATCTATGCCAGTTCAAAAGATTCTATCTGCTAATACTTACACAGGTTATACCAATGAAGCATTTACATTAGCGTGTCTACAGAAGGAATTAATTTACTACAATTAAAATGTGGGTAGATAAGCGTGAGACATTTTTAATGCCATTACACATATATAATGCCATTACACTAGAATGTTGCAAAGATATTCAGGTTACAGACTGTCAATGTACGATGTGTGTTTCTGCATGTATACAGTTATTTCAAGACAAGTAACAACTCTCTTACACACACACACACACACACACACACACACACACAGAGTGTTCCTGGCTTTCTAGAAGGCATAAAAAAAAATAAATATTGCCAATATTGTTTATATTCCATAACTGCCTAAATAAATGTGTGACAGCTGACTTGTCACTAGGTAAAATCACTGAAATACTTTCTCCTCACATGGGTTATGAAAACAGATGACTAGCGACTGTTTGGTGCATCTCTCCTACCTTTGTGCAGACTCCCGTGGTCGCATCGCACAGCGTCAGGATGGACACGTTCTGGGCCCTGTTCAGCCAGTTTACCGCCACCTTGGTGCTGGTTGCCCATTTCACCATGGTTATGTAGTAGTCCCTGCAAACACAGACATTCATAAAATGAATTACAACACTGCCATCCTAATGAATTGCCACCTGGCAGAGCAGTTGGAGGCTTCTGCAGGCAAACGGTCCAGGAGAGATCTCTGGTTATTAAGAATACTTCGTCGTCTTGTCTCTAGGCTTCCTTATGTATGGATTTCAACCCCTAAAAATGACATTTTTAGGGCTGTGCAGATGTTTTATCTGCCACTCCTGAAAGTCATTTTCAAAGAAGAGACAAATTCAGAGATAAAGAATCTTTCAAGCTCTTCAGGCTTCCAAGAAGGACTGAAATGCCTGGAGCTACAAATTTATGCACAGGTGAAAAAGAAATTGCAAACAATTTCCACCCTGATCAGTTTATCAGATGACCGTCACTGCCAATGGCTGGAATCTTTCTGCTTGTGAAGAGTTAATGGCCTCTAAATAGGCCTACTACACACCAAAACATCCACGACTTCTGCATTAAAAGGATAATAGCAAGAAGGATAGAGTTTAGAGAGACACAGAGTTTCTGCAAAACAGATGAAGCTGGCTGCCATAAAGGTGTCAACAGAGATGGGACAGTTTGCATTGGCAAAACCTCCATCCCACACTCCCTGCACCATTCTCTATTGCTGGACATAGGTTGGGATAATATTTGGAGTAAATGACCGGTGTGGGCTGCACAGCCTGGTAATCAATATCTTTAGGAAAAGTCCTGTGAAATACGGAGCACTAGAATCACCTAAAATACAGGACCACAAATAAATACACTGATGGTCACCTTCTCAGAGCCAGCCTGTGGTGGTGCTTGCAGATGGCCACCAGCAACTCAGGGCTCCACCACTTCATCTGTGGGGTAAAACTGGCTAAGCTGACAGAGCTGGTGATGTTTTAATATACTGCTGGGCTATGTGGGCCAAAGAGATCCTTAAATTATAATATGACTTTTCACAGCATACAGTCTATAAAAAATTTATTAGTTCATTTGTTTGCTATAAAATATGTATAAGGAATTGTTGCTCTCATTGGAATTAATGTGCTGTGTCACTGGAGAGTACTTTGTGTTCTGGCAAGCGCTCCTGTACATACTGAAGAGAAAGGGCAAAAGCAACAAAGGCACATTTGTCTAGCAAAATAACAAGTTGGAAATTGATTTTGTAGTTTTCAGTAATATTTAGTGCCTGGATTTGGCTGGGGAAAAATAACAAAAGCCCTCAACAATTGCATCCACTGTTCTGGAAGGAAGGATACTTCCAGGTGAAACAACAGCTGTCTGAAAATTCAGTGCCTGAAATAAAATTGTAATTTTAGTCTTTTATCAGGAACAGCATAGGCCCTAAGAGGGAAAAAAACAACAAAGCAAAACTAAACTGTATAACCATCTCTTTTTTTCCCCTCAAAATTAACTAAGCAGATTCAGTCTACCCAAAAAATGAATGTGAATTGACTACATATTGTGGCTTGGAGCACTTTTTCCATAAATCCAATTTAAAGTTTGAGGGATATGTATTTGATTTTTACATCCCTCTTGCTGTTTGAACACAGGAGTCACAGTTCTTTCTCAAGAACTTTTAATTATTATTTTAGGTCAAACATTATTTTCTCTACCACCCCAGAGATGGGCATGGAGTCTCAATTTCTCTCTGAAGCCTCTTCCAGCCATCAAGTCCTTGGATACCCCAGGCAACTGCAGGTAGTCATATAGTTATTATTTTGGCCTCAGAGTAGTGTAGAATCTTTAATTTACTTCACATCTCTTTTGTAGGATAACCAAGTTTTATGTTTCCCATTTTGCAGAGGAAAATGAGGCAATAAGGTGTGATTAATCTCAGTTAATTTTAAACATCTGCAGCTCCAGCAGCTGCATTCGTTGAGTCAGTGCATTTCCCAAGCCCTCTTTGCCTGACCTGTCCCAGAATTTATACAAAGATAATTTAAGGAGAACCTGTTTCTTCCCATAGAGTGAAGGGAAGACCCTAAACCACTTTGTCTGTAGACATTCACATCAGAGCAGATTGCACCCTCCCAAAGGAAAGGAAAAACTTGTCTGAGCCCTTTCAGGAAAGGTGCAGTCGTGCTCAGCTTTGGGATGTATTTCCCCATCCCAATAAAGATGTCGGTGGTTGGGTTTGCAGTTGTCAGAGACCGGTTATTTTCCAGCACCCTTATTCAAATTCTAACTTTACTTGGCTGCTTTTTGGAGGTATGCATCTAAAATATGAGGTATGAATCTAAAAGTATGACAACAGTAATAAAGCCATAAACCCCCCAAAGAAGATACAATGATATAATTTTTGGCCAAGTGAGAGAGAGCAGCTCAGCGCATGGTCCCTGGGGCACAGCTGGCTCCAGTCTCTGGTCTGGAGTTGAGCTGTCTGAGTTTCTCCATCATTTATTTCTTCATGACCTAGGAAAGGACAATTTCTGCACTCAGGGAAGATAATGTCTTTAATTTGCCACCTGGGATGCAAATATGATGTGAAAAATAAGTTAGATCTTGGCCCAGCTCTGGTCACCTGCTGCTGTAACTGTTCTGGTCTAATGGTTTTCACCAAAATAAAAAATGCCTGTCAGGCATCAAAAGTTGTAATACTTTTTCCCCCCCCTGCAATTTCCACCTCTTCACTTTCTTCTTCTCACAGAAAAGCATGATGTTGCAGAAAATTCAGCAAAAATGCTCACAGTGAAAGACTTTTTTAAAAGGAAAAAATATCAAAATTGTACATTTTCCCATAAAATATATTTTCTGATCATCAGCTTTGCTTTTTTTTTTTTTTTAAATTGGAAAATGTCCCAGTTTTGTGGAAAATTTCTGACTTCCTTTAATTCTAAAAGAAAAAAAAGACTCTGGCATATCTCCACTTTATCCTCATCTTTATTAATTGTACTAAAACACTTTGCTCCAGACAGAGAGAACACCAAGAAGTACCGCTCTGCCCATATATCATCTGTGTGAACAGATTGAGCACAGCGCAATGGTTCAGATAGGACCGCTCTT